GCCTGCCCCTGAACGGGGAGAGGGAGGGGCCAGCCACAGCTTCTCTGGGCACCCTGTGCCAGCGCCTCAGCACCCTCACAGGGAAGAGCTTCTGCCCAAGAGCTCACCTCAATCTCCCCTCTGGCAGGTTAAAGCCATTCACCTTGTCCTGTCCCTACAGGCCCTTGTCCAAAGCCCCTCTCCAGGTTTCCTGTAGAACACTGCCAGTCCTGTTCCATTTGTCACCACCAACATGCCCCAGTCCTTCTCTGCAGAGCTGCTCTCAATCCACTCATCCCTCAGCCTGTACTGACATTGGGGATTGCTCTGACCCAAGTCAGACCATGATGTGGTTTGTATGGCACACTCCAGCCTGTGCAGGTCCCTCTGGATGGCATCTCTTCCCTCAAGTGTATCACCTGCCCCACTTGGCCAGCCTGCAGGTGAGTCCAAGCTGTGGGTGCACTCAATCCCACTGTCTCAAGTCACTGATAAGACATTACATATTGTAGGTCTCAGTATGGACCTTTGAGGGGCACCACATGTTACCAGTTTCCATTTGGACATTGATCCATTGATAAACCCTTTGGATGCACCTATTCAGCTAGTTCCTTATCCATCTAATAATTCAGAGCTTTGCTGGAAGTCTGTGACTCCTTAGCTCCAGAAGGCCAGATCCAGAAGGTATTTAGCTCCTAACATATAGAAACCTTAAGATAACACTAACAAAGAATGATGCTGTATACACCTAGCCAGGGGTCAGGGCCCTGAATACTTTGTGTGACCCAAACCAAAGCTTTTCTCCAAATGAAACTTTGGGGGTTTCTGCAGATGCTGCCCAGCACTGTGGCAGAGCTCCCAAAATATTTGCTCCAGGTTCACCAGATCCTTCAGGTGCTCACAAATGCATTTAAAGCATCTTCACATGTCTCCAGATTTCCAAGATGCTGCAGGCCATCGCTTTTTCTTGCTCTCAGATGTCTTGCTGCAGGGATCCCTGCCACAAGTGCCTCCTCTAGCCAACACCTCCTTCCCTTGTCCTTCTGCAGCCCAGTGTCCCCAGCTCCATCACCTCTCTCTGGTGAGGCAGAGGCCTTCAGGATTCTGCAGCTGTAGCTTCTCTCTTCCTCGAGCAGCTGTGCCAGCATTGGCTGAGCAAATGACAGTGACCAGGGACAGAAACTTCTCTCTTCCTCTGTTGCTCAGGAATATTCTCAGACAAAATGGAGAAGTTTGTCCCCAAACCCAGTAGCTGGTAAGTCCTGGTTCAGAAGTGTCCACTGAGGAGAACAGATGGGGG